GAAGCTCAGCTGATTTGTCCTCAAATCATTGTTTCGAAATCTTGTCACCTTAACTTTAAGACATAATAAATTTTATTTGAACTAAAAAGAATATTACATTCCTCACTAAAGAGCTAATTCTACAGAGAAGAAGGATAGAGAAATCCCCGTCTAGCGAGCGACAAGTTTTGTTCCGTACAATTAGTTCAGTGGCACCATCTACTGTAATTAATTTAAACTAATTTAAATTTAAGACTTAAGTTCACTCAATATGTAGGTTAATATTCGTGTAATAATATCGTAATTTTTAATCAATTTTTTTCTATAAAATAGTTTTAAAAAGTTCAAGAGTAATAACCAAATTCTGATTTTAAAAAAATTTGAATTATAGTTTAATGCAAAAATTATGGAGAAGAAAAACAAAAATAATAATTTTGGAAGAAATCATTGGTACTTATTTCAGAAATTAAGTTTAAATCTTAATGATGAGATTCATTCATATCATGAAAAAAGGAAATGATTACCATAAAAGAACAATCCGAAGAAAACCGAGAAGAATCTCAAAATTAGATTTAGGAAAGTTGGTCATGTTAATTTGGGCGTCTAGTTTCTGCCACACTAGATGGTAGCACCGAGACTCTATTTGGATGCTAAAGTGCACTAGGAATTTAATTTTGCCGGAAATGCCAAGAGCCAATGAGGCACTCCAATAAAAAATATATAATAAGCATTAACGTTGTATCAAATTAATTCATTTAAAGCTTGCATTAGCACATGGTGTTATGCAGAATAGAAATAAAACTGCTTTTTTTCATTTTAATTAAATCTAAAATTTCATTTTGAGAATCAAGCCAAATATTTGAATTACAAAGAATATGGAGGGGGTACCTTAACACTAAAGCATTTATAAATAACATCACTCAAAACATCTTCTAGTTCTTAAAGGATAAAAATAAAATAAACTTAAAAAAGAAAAGAGAAAAAATTTTCAGCAAAAAATCTTAAAATGTTGAATTAAAAATTTGATTTATAACTTAGGGTAAAAATTTGAAAGGTAAAGTTGCCAAAATTTTTGAGAATGTGTTTTCAAATTATATCGGAAATTGAGATGATTTTTGTGGATATTAGTAATAAAGAAAAATAGTCTTGTGATCAAATAAAAACAATAACATATGAATTTTAAACCTTATTTAAATTAATTTTAAATTTCATTATAACTTTAATTGAAACAGGAGATTTAAAATTTCAATTAATAATTGCAATTTATTTGAAATAGTTTTTGAAAACAAAAACTGACTACTGTTTTAAAAGTGATACATGTTTTAGGTTGTTTTTATTATACATTTTAAAAACTGTACTAAACATTAAAACATATAAAGAATTACAGCAATAAAAATACTAAAAGAATGAAAAAGAGAGAAAGAATTTAAAATAGTGAACAGTTATTTTTTTCTAAGAATTGAAAAATAAAACTCAATCTTATTCATTACAATAGTTCTAAAAGTTCTCAAATACTTTAAGAATTTTATGATTACACAAATTTCACTCTCAAATTCAAGAAAACACAAAGCTTACCCCAGTTTTCTGAGCTTTTACCAGTCAATAAATAATTATATAAACCAAACTAAAATTACTACTATGAAACTAAAATTTCTGGAAAGATTAAATATTTTATCGAAATAAACTTGATTTATTAACAAAACCTCAAACTTGGGAGTTTATATTCACAGGTGCAAAAGAACGTCTAAAACAGAGACGAAAATTTACCTTTTATTTAATACAAAGTATAGTATTCCTAAAATCTTTAATATAAACGTGAATGGGTACCCTGTAAAGCGAAAAAAGTTCTTGCATTTCTAAATTAATAAATAAAATGTGTTAACTATTTAAAAATAAATAATTGCGCAAAATAACTGTTAAATAAAAAAACTGATTTGCGTAGGACATACAAGTCCAACACAAATCTTTTAGTTTTGGTGTCTAAGTTTAGACAACAGCCTTCTCCTAAGAGTTTGCCCCTGACATTTACACATCTTTGTACGCTACTGAACGAATAACGCTACAAAGTGCACTTAATGAGCAAACAAAAATTAAAGAAAGTATATCTCAAGGGTTAGTGAAACCATATTTACCATAAGTTACCCCTACCCTTGCTCCCGTGAAAATGACAGGTGAGGTTTCGCCCTCTATTTCTCGCTCCCGTGAAATTTCCAGGCTGGAGTGTTCAGTAGTAACGCGCTAATAAGAATAAAACTAATTCATTTCTTTCGCCCGGAAAACATTTTATTTCTCATTTTACACACCAGATGGCAGTACCAGGATATTTTTAAGGTAATTGTAGATAATTAGTTTATTTTAAACTAGATGTCAGCACTAATCAAATATGTGTATTTGGCAAAATAGGCACTTTCATGACCGTTTTCTTGAAAATTAACCGATCGTTAAGGGGTTAAACCTCCTGAAATAGTTGCTTTTCGATTTACTATCGTACTTTCATTTACTTAAATGAAAATTTTTGAGGCCGAGAAAAGTATGCATGATGTCTTGCAATAACTATCGTTATTATATACGGGAGGTTCTGTAAAGATCACCTTAAGGGTATAGTTTTAAAATCCTTTTCAAAAAGGAATTTAATTAAGTAAACACATTAGGGGACATGAATTAATAATTAAGCAAGGAAAAAAGAAAAGTGCTAGAGAATTTAACAAATCATGTTGATCAAGATGGGAATGGAAAGCTCAAAACTGATTGATTGTCTGATAATACCCTTTTAATTCTTATGTTTCTTCTGGCAATATAACAGGTTTTAATTGTTTACAGTTATACTGTTATCACTTTTATAGTGTTTTTTTCCACACTTAAATACTTTTACTTCCTTTTTGCCTAGTGAAAAATCTATTGCAAATTAATATTCAAGTAGAAGAGAAACATATTGACCCAAGATCAATGAGTTAAATTAAAATGAATGGAGTTAAAATCTTGAGAAGATGAATCTGATAATTGTTAATAGCAAGGTAAAGAAGATTTTTAACTTAAGCAGAATGAGAAAGATCTACTGTTACATTGTTCACATAGGTTTATGATCTAGAAATTATTTAAATTCGTTTTTTATAAAAAAAAAATTTAATCCTAGGTATTTTTATTGGAAGTTATTTAGATGCATATCTGATGATTTACATGGCGACAAAAAATAACTTGGGCACATTTTATATAAAATTTTAAAGTAAAGTATCACAACTAAACTTTTGAATAAACATGAAAACAGTATCATCTCTAACAAATTTTCATAGTGACCATATTAGGCTTTAATGCAAAGCTGTAAATGTGTTGCAAATTCTTCTATTATGGGCTGTAACTCACATAACTCATATTTTGTCCCATTCCTCGAAGAATAATTTTTTAAGGATGCCTAAGCCAAACCTTTGTCTCCAATATGGATCAAATGGAGAAATATGTGATTCAAGGTTTGTAAATAAGGGGACTTATCTTATTCTGTAATAAAGTTTCCTAAATGTAACTGGCATCATTCTTAAGTACTTTTAGTTCAGAGTGCTAAAATAAAACTTTATTGAAACATCTATTTTTGATATCAAAAGAACTTTTGTGAAAAAGAAATTCTTCCAAAATGAGTTTAAAATGAATTCCTACAAAGACATTTGGTTCTAGACTTTATCCATATTGATTATTGTCACCCTGTATATAAATATAAGTAAATCTTAAAGCTATATTACTTGTGTAATTTCTTTTCAAAATTCAGTTGAATCAAGGCCGATTATGTTGCATCAAAAAGAATTGATCGTTGCAATGAAGAGAATTAAAATCATCAGATACAACTAGAATATATTAGGACCATCTCCAAATAAACTGGTATTATCTAATTTTAATTTATCTGTTGCTTCAAAATGATTTATAAGTCTTAGATAACATTCTTGTTTTTTCTTTACATAAATATTAATTTCATCACTCTAGTATGTATCATTTTTGCATTTCCACCTTTACAGAGATTCTAAAAATAAATAATTAAGGTCAACCAGTATGGAACACGCTGTATATACACCCTCAAATGTTATCAATAAGCTTCCTCTCACATTCATAAAATTCTCTTAGTTCTATGCTCCAGTACAAGTAGACACTGCTTCTAAACAGATTTTTTTTAAAAACATCACTAATTTTTGAACAAAAATCATGATGTGTTGTTATCCTAAATTGAACTTTTTTGTAGTTTGTGTTTTTAATCCTAAATTACATAAATATTAATGAACTAAAAACGTTTCTAACATAGCAGTCAATTTCATTAATTTTAGCAAAGAAAAATTATAATTTTAAAAAAATAAAGTAAAAGTTTTTAGCATTCTTTAAAAGATATAAACTTGTTATGAAAAGCTGATAAAAAAAAATACATCTATACAAGCTTCTATTTAAAAAAAAAAACTAGCAACCAATATTTTGAACAGAATGGTAATATTTTTTTTGCACTGTTATATGACCAAAAGTTACAATTAGCCCCTTTGATAATGTTTAAATCTGTCAATAGTCATTGGTAAGGAGAAGTTAATGTTGCTTAACTGTAAGCTGGTAAGAATTAAATGGTTACTAAAAACTATTTCCTTCTAAATTATTGTCATCCTAGTACAAAATACTATTTAATTTTAAAAATGGTTACTAAAATTTTATTTTGCATAACCAAGGTAGAAAAATGTGTTCTCTTTTATTATTAAAATAAACTATACAAACTATTATAATAAACTATAAAATTATGTAAATACATCTACTTTCCATATTCTGTAACTCATTAATCACAGAATTGAGCCCCTGAGTAAAATAATACTAAACTTTTCCTGTTATGCACTACTCTCACATTGAATTTCCACAACTGGTGGAAATCGACTTTTTGATGCAACTAAAAGTTTAGAAAAAGACAGGACTAACTCTCAGAGGGTAAGGGACCACTTCACAAATTTTGACAATCTATAAAATCCCAATGAACATGTAATTCGATAATAAATATGCAAAAAAAGATATAGCCAACATGTAAATATAAATTTATTATCACACAAAATTCATTAGCAACGATTGCACAAAACAACTATTTTGCCGACATCCCACAAAGATATTGAGGTATAATATTTTTACTTCACAATTTCAATATTCAACACTTTTTAAATAAGAAACATTTATTTTTCATTGTGATTATTATATTTTTTAACAAAAAATAACAAGCAAGAGCAAACTAATTTATAGTTTAAGTGTAATTTACAGTACAAGTCAAAGCATTTTGTTAAAAACAATAAAAATATAATTTTATTCATGACATAGAATTGCATAAATAAGTCCTTGCAGATCTAACAGAACACAGACACTTTGGATGCCTTAGCAAAGAAAATATTAAAATAGTTTTCACATTTATGACTCTTACAGATTATAACAAGTCATTACAAATATCCATGAAGTGATTTTCACAAGATTGATTGCTCTTTTGAGCAATTAAAATAATAAAAAGTTTTTAAAAAATTATTGCTTTAGAATCTAATAAAGTACAGAGCATCTCTAATGATTTATAGTCATGTCGATAAAAATAAAAATGTTAGTACTTTATTAGAAATAAGGAAAACTCAGAGTACATTATATATTTCGCCACACAAATTAGATAACTAAAACTAAAAATTTTAGATTTTAAACCTGGGGCCATCAAGCATTTCAGAAACTTTCAAGAATTTTACATGAATTTCACATGTTACAACTTTCTGAGTAAAACCGTTTCTTATAATTTCCTTAATAAACTACGCCATTGATTAAACCTCCAAAACTACATCAATGATTGAAATAGTTTATCTTTTTGAAAACTTAAAATATGCCCAAAATAAATACTTGTATAGAACTGATAGAAGCTTTTATTTATAATTTACACTGACAAGTTGTGACCAGGAACACTAAAAAAATTCATTGCTCCAAACTGTTTTTATTCAAATTTATTTCTTTATCTATGTTTATAAAATTGTTTCACTCCATATTTATTGACCTCCAAAATTACATTAATGGTTGGAATAGCTTACCTTCAGGAAAACTGGAAATGTGCCTGAAATAAATTCTTGAATGCAACTATTAAGTACTTTTTTTAATTCACACTGTCAATGTGGAGCAATGACAAATTGTGACCAGGAACCTCAAAAAGAATTTGCTTTATGTTGAAAAACAACTTTTTATTAATTTATTTTATTGTAACAAACATTAGAGCTTACTATGAAATGAAAAAGTTATTTTCATAAAATAAAATGCTTTTTATGTTCAGGTAATGAGTAGTTACGAGAGTCAAGCCATTAATAGGAATCACATATTTCCAATCATTTAACATTTAAATTTTGTATTAAAATTTTTCTCAGCACACAAATATGCATTTTTTCTGCATAAAACACTTAAATGAAAATTGTTACATATTCAAAAATAAGATTCTTTTACTTTCGGTGACTGCTAAAAGCCAAGGATGGAGGTTATTTTATGCCAGTGTTTGAAATTGTTGGCTAATAATTAATTACTCATCACCAAATAATTTAAATTACTTAATCTCTCCTGCACTAGTCTAGGCTCGTTTTTGACCAAAATTACTAACTGCTTTTTATAAAAAAAATTATAACAAATTATTTTCCTGCAAAAAGTGAGAAGTTTTGTTGAATTAAAAACAAAAGAAAATGCATCCCTACTTTTGGAAGGAAAAATATTGCAATACAATAACTTATCATGTTGTTCAGTCTACACAAATTAATTGGTATATATTAGGTTAGTTCCTTAAACAAAAACAATTTAATCTTAATATGTAAGAATTTTATTAAAATTATTTAATTGTGTTGCTCTGTATTCTGCATAAACTGCATAATCTCTACTTAAGAGTCTTGGCCTCATAAGATGAAACTTAAGATTAAACTCAATTCATTTTGATGGCATCATTCCTTAAAAAGTTTTATTTTTTACTTCATAGTTTTCCTATAAAAGTCCTTATCATAATTTTAAAATTGTCTTGGAATAAAATTATCATTTAAAGGCAATTATTAAAAAAGAAAGTTTTTTTTTATCCAAAAGAGCTTAGATTGTAAAAAATTTACCATATTAATAAATAAAGCTTCTTTGCACAGATTTTGAGCAATCAAAATAGTTTTTTGATACAAATAAAAATAAAAAAACATAAAATATAAATATTTATAAAATACCTGGAAAATTGATTTTATATAAAACACATATTTCTTTGATGATTGTGAAAGTTATGTCAGAAGATGAAGAAAATAATACAATATGATATGACATTTGGCTGCCACTGTTTCACATATAAAGAGTTTAAAGCTCTAATACTTGAATAAATCTTGCATATGGCATCTTGGCGAACAAAAGTGATGTATGAATGATTATTTTCAAACTTTGTTATGTGTACTCACTATTTACATTAATTAGTGATTCAGTCTGCTCATAGTCAATGTCATGAACTCTGAAAAAAAGTAAACATTATAAATGATTTTATAAGATATTCAATATAATAGAAAATTACTTATGTTAGACAACTTAAATTGATCCTATATACTTAAGATATATTTGAAATGATCCAATTTAAATCTATCAAAAATCTTTTCTGATGAATGTATCACATTGAAAATTAAGATAAAACAAAACTTGCTAAATAAAAAATATACATAAACCATAAAAACTTTCATATTTTAAAACTAAATTAACTAATTTTGAAACTAATTTAAACCTAATTTAATTTAAACTATATTTAAAATTAATTTAAAACTAAATTAAATAATTCATATTTTAAAACTTCAATTATTATTTCTCATGATTCCAAGCAAAATTAAACATAAAAGGTGCATAAAGATAAAAGGGGCATTAACATAAAAGGTTTAAAAATAAAAGCAGCTAAATTTTGTAAACTTTCTAAAGGGAAGGTAGATTTGCAAAATGTTGCCTTTCAAATGTAGAGGGTTAGGATATTAAATAAATTTTTTGGTCCTTCTTTTTATCCAATTATTCTAATTTTTTTACTGAGTATAGTTATTGTAACTATATGCAGAAAAATTTTAAAACTAAACTATTTATAAAATTTGACAAAAAACTTACCATTTAAAAAGTTATTTACTTGTTTATTCTAAATATTTTTCTTAGATTAAACCCTTAAAAAATACTATAAAACACACTTCAATTAATCAAATAGGAATAAAAGATTCATGATATGATATCATTTAGTGACTTTGTTAATAAACAAGAAATTGATATCAATAAAATTCACCATGGTTTAGAATTAGAGGCAGATTTAGAATCTGACACTAGGATATGTATGTCATCCAGAATCTAATAAATAGTTCAAGAAACTGAATAAAGTGAGAATGTACAAAAGAGATTTTTTTATTCTTCATTTTGAAGTATAAATATCAAAAATTTCTGTCTTCGCTAATACAATGTAGTTAAAAGTAAACACACTCTAAAATTAGAAAATAGTTTTAAAAAATTTTATTTTATAGAAATGCAAATCTTTTAAATCAAAATACTTAAATGCATCTAGATGCTCACAAACTATAGCTCTTTAGAAAAACTCCAGCTCAAAAACAGATTTTTTTACAAAAATATGAACCATTTAATCTGTTCTTTTTTTCCCATGTTAGACTTAACTTGTGGCATTGAATATAGATGCATATAATATAATGCATATTCATTTATCATTTCATTGAATATTCATTAAAGTTGGTAAGTTGTTGCCAAACACTTGTCCTATTAAAATCTTAATTTAACGAACCAAAATTTTATGCATCATTAAATTAATTGAGAATGGATGTAATACATTTATTTCATTTGAATTTCACCTCAATTTTACATTTAAATTTGAAATTCAAACAAAATCAAAAAGTAATAATAAAACAAAATCAAAACGTAGTAATAAAACAATTTAAAAAATAATGTATTTAAAGATACTTAATCCATATTTTTAACAGAAAAAAAAGTTATCAAAAGTTACAGAATATTTAAATATACAACAAATAATATAATATCTCACCTTTTAGATCTCTTACAAAGACTGACTAGCTTATTAAGACCAATGAGAACAGGATCCCAATTTTCATAATGAGTCAGAAAAGCTACAGCAAAGAAAGAAAGGAACATGGGAAGAGTTCCCAGAAAAAACTGAACAGGATAATCCACCTAGAAATTATTAAGAACTTTATTATAAAATATAATTTTTAAAAAAACAGTAGGAACATCAACTTGGTATTAGAGTAAATAAATAAATTTAAAGGAAATTAATTTTATCAACAAAACTTAATAGCTTTTATAACCATGTAATACTAAATAGAAAAGAGACAGGCTCAGAAAATGTTTTTTTAATAAGTGTTATGTGTGTCTCTGAGTTTTTTTTTAAATGTTAAAATAAGTTTTGTCTTTTGTATCTCTAAAACAATTGCAAAAATATCACAAAAGTTTAATATGAGAAATAAATTTTTTTTTGTTGGGGGGGGGGAATTAAACACATTTGTGATCTAATTTTTTAATGCTTAAAAAGTTACGCTAACACTGCAGTGATTAGGATTGTAAAGAATATACAAAAATTGAGAATTATTCTTTAACTCAAGAAAAAGAAATAATAGTTCTAAATTGGTTCTTCCTTTAACCGAAGAAAATTATAAATAAATAATAATAGAGTTTTTCAACTGCAAGAAATGAAAAATGCAAACTTCCACTCAGCCAGATAATTTGCTGGAATTCTCAATTTTATAATAGTTATTATGCTAACAAAATCATTAAACCTAGAGAGTCTAATAAAACCAAAGAATAGTCATTTTGCATAAAACAAAATGTTATCTTCTAATGAATTTTTTTACATAAAAATGTAAATTCTGAAATTCACATGAAACTTTAGAATATGCATATAAATATTGAAATAAATTCATAAAATGTTATTTAATATGTATTAAAAAAAAAACAAATTTCTTAACATTAATTACATAATTACAACTGAATGCAATACATTACCTTTTTTAAGAAAATGTCAAATAATATAGTTAAAGGTATAGTTAAAGACACTGACAAGGTAGCTATTAGAGAGGACGTCAAAAAACAGCCCCTAAAATGAGAAGATGGGTATGTTGAAATATTTTTTTACTTCATACAGGGAAAAATCATTGTAAAAATGCATTTTTTATCAATACTAAAAAACATGGTTACATAAAAATTCTGTGATTAAAGTTTCAACTGTATTTTTAAAAAAAAATTTGATTAATTTTTCAGTAACCTGGGAAGGAGTCCTTCATTTGGGTTTGTAGCTTATATACTCTGAGTATGCCTACACTCGTAAAAAAATGTTACATATTTTGCATAATTAATGTGTTGGAAGAGTAAAATTACACTCAAAATATATTTTTTGGGGTAATACTAATTTTCAACTTTTCAAAAAAAAAAACTCAACATGATGATGATCCCCTACAAAACCCCTTTCTTTTTTATAAATCAAAATTTTTATTCAACTCGAAATTATCTTGTAGAGTGTTTGATAATAAAAGTTTTTTTTCTGTTAGTCGATTTATCATTATTTTTTAAACAATTTTTCAGAAGAAACACAGATACAAGCTGACTGAACTGAAAAACTAATCAAATCATTAAAGAACAAACAAAAAGCCTAAAAATATATAATTGTTGAAATAATGTTTGTTGGAAAAGCTGATCAAATTATTAAAGAACAAAAATATATTTAAAAAAATCCATTTTGAAGCAGGTTTTGTCGGAAAGGCTAATCAAATATCTAAAAAACAAAAAAAAACAAAAAGCCTAAAAATCCATTATTCCTTTAAGGCAGGTTTTCTTGCTTGATAGAGTTCCAACAAAGATGTCTGACATGTGTTTTTAAGAAACTGATGATGATGTGCGTTAATTTGTATGCTTTAATGCTTTTTCTAAAGTAGAGAGGGGTTCTGTTAAAGTTTTATCAAAAAAACAAAGTGCAAGCAAACTGATTTATTTGAAAACGTTGGTGCAGTCTCAGCTCAATATAGAAGCAGATGAAACTCAACTGATTTCTGAATTAAAAGAAGTGGAATATATGTGCATATTGTTGAATAATCTACAATGCTTCTTTATTTAGTTAGCTATTTGGAAACTAAATCAGCAACTTCAGCCTGTAAGAGGATTGCAGGTGGACACACATATGAAGTCTTAGCTAAAAATATTTTTATGATCCTAGGATTTTATGTAACCTAAAAGATGATTTTACTAATGGTTAAAGATAACACAACAAATTTTGTCAAAGCTTCTCATCACTTTTTAAGAAGTGACAGTCAATACTAGTACTTTCCTGCTGATATACATTCTGATAACCCATATATTAAATAAACAAGATAAAAATAATGAAAATGTGATGTTGCGATCCCATCATCAATGTTCTATCCAGATGCTCAATTTAGTGGCAGTTAAAGATAGTGAAAAAACAGTTGAAGATACGGCCTTCTAGAAAGTAAATCAAAGTGCATTTGCAAAAGGCGAAGCATTTTAGAGCAAATCAAAAATATCTGTTGTTTTAGCTCACAAAATATCTGCAGAGCCAATAAATTGTCTCATAATTCATGGAGTTTAATGCATTTCGTTGTGGCTCGTATATGCTGGCTCTTGAAAGATAATAAAGACTCCCCAAGATATACAGACGATTTAGGAAGGCTATTGTCATTAAATGTTTATATGAATATTGCATAAGATAGGATTCTCTTTTATTTGACTTAAATATTTTAAAAGGGGAAGTGAGTGTTTTCGTAGGAGATTTTGCTCTAACAATTAATCAGTTATTGAAGACTCTTAAATTCTATACTGGCCTGTAATTTTCCAACCATTAGGTTCAAGCCATGGTAGTATAGATTGAAAAAGTTTTGTCAATTGCTGTTGGACAAAAAAAAACTAATTCAAGTGGAAAGATTCATTTTTTCTTTTTTCTGATATATTTGTCTTAAGATATGCTTACGTGATAACAATTTTGACAGTTAAAAAATTGAAAAAAATGTCTTCAAATTAATACTTTTTTCACTTTTGTTCCTTATTAATGCATTTAATAATTTTCAGGCATAAACTAAAATATCAATTAACAATCATGATTAATCACTAAGCAATTATGTATAATGACTAGGCCTTAATCATATGCATAATTACTAATAATAGATCTAGTCATTATGAATAAGAGCTAATTTTTCACTTTGCCCATAAGACTGTACCTTTAAATTTGAATATACACTCATGATCAAAATGTAAAGAATATGTGAATATTATTTTAATGGAGAGAGGGAACACATTTTGCTGTATAATCTATGATGTACTTTACTTGAGACATTAAAGAGGTTTAAACACTTAACAAAATCACAAATATTTGATTATTTTTAAGCATCTCTTGAATTGAATATTCACTGCCAAGAAAGGCCAAAAATTCTAAAGGTTGAGAGAAAAAAATTTTTAAAAAAATGTTTTAGAAGTAATAGATTTGATCATAAAATCATAAATGGATATGTCTTAGTATTTTCTGATGTTCAAACAAGCTAATTTATTATTCTAAATCCATATTTAAGAATTTTTCTTTCAATTTTTCAACTTTTTTTAATTTTGAATATGACTGTTAACTGAATCCTGAAACAAAATTTGCCTCCAAATAGTAATTAAGTTGTGATTAGTAGTAGTTACTAATCACAACATTTAAAGAAAATATTTGAAAATTATGTTAATTTTGTTTCTAGTAAACAAGGATTCAAATATTATAAATTTAAAGTAAACTTTAAAAATGTTCCAAATATTTTTCAAAATAAGGGCAATTCGAGCATAAAAACAACAACTTTTTCATATCATGAGAACAGCTCTACAATAAAATGTAATGCATATCAAAAAAATTTACCTAGATCAATAATACAATTACCTGTGTTTTTAACTAAAACCTTAAAAAATTTTAAATATACAATCAAATAGAACTAAATAGTCTTCAGTATTGTTTTTTCAAATAAAAGTTCTAACCATTCTTACTTAAAGCTTGATAAAAAAATCACACTAATAACTTAGCTTCTAGTTCAAAACATACCTAGTATCAAAGCATTCTATATTAAACTTTTTCTGTAATGAGTGTAAGTGTAAAGAGATTTTCTCAAAATCAATGTTTTTCTTGAAATGTAATAAAGTATGCAATTGCTATTCTGTTTCGTTTATCAATCAGCAAGCAAAAAAACTACAACTTTGATTCTAAAAATTTAAAACAAAAACCAAAATTTAAAAAGATTTAGTAAGCTAAAGCAAAATTTCTAACATAGACAACAAAAAAAAAGGTAAAATTCTGTCAAAATTGCAGATTTTCCTCTAATGGGATAATTAAAATTATATTTGTAATAAAACTGTTGCAGTTAACAGCACAAAAATGCTGTTGCAGTACAGAAATTTCAGACAAAAACAAAGTACATAATGTTTTACAACTGCTATAAAAAAAACATAATTTTGGAACTGGATTTGAACCAGGTTTCATCCAATTTTCCCTTACTAGTCAATTTTAGAAAAAAAATTTAAAATGTAGTTAATAATTTTAGATCCTTCATATAATTTAAACCTGGAAATATAATTTAACATTTGTTACTTTGTAATAAACCATTAAGAATTATTTAGCAACGTTTATAAGCAATTTCAAAAATTCTAAGAACTATGAAGTTGCCATTTAACATTGTTAACACATAAATTATAATTCAGTAGTAATTTTGGGAAGTATCTAAAGCAAAAGTATAATTAAAAATATACCATAGCCATAGTAATTCTGAAAATACAGTTCCAATAAGCCCATTGCACAATAATAACAACCACTGATATCGAGAAGGCCATTGAAATTCTTCTACTTTGGTATAATGCAGAAAAACAAATCCAGGCCATAAGAAAAGAAGGTTGAATAATCCAACAAAACCTAAAAAGTAAATATCTTATATGAGCATGAAAAATATAAATGCTAATAAAATATAACATATTTGCTGTAAAATCAAAAATAATTACTATCTAATATGCAAAAACAATTTTTTTTTTCAAAACAATTAAGCAAAAAAAATTCTCAAAATAAACAATGAAATTTTTAAATTTTTTAATTAGTAGTAATAAATTTAGGTTTAATATCATTAGAAGAGGAAACTTTTATCACTTAATAACTCTTTTCTGTTTCTTGCCACGATCAAACTGTTTGTCAATTCTACTTTTTTCATTAATGATTTGTGAGATATCAAAAGACTTTTTATTTTCTCTTTGCTTACATATTAATTTTCCACCCTTAATGTTTGCATTCCTTTTACTTCATTTTTGAAAATTACTGAAAAACTATATATTAAGTGTAGTCCTTATAAAACACCCTATGTAATCTTGAACTGATTTGATGAAGAAGAGATATAAAAACAGGGAATAGTTTCATTCATTCTGCTACAAGTGTGAGAATTATTAATTGACTTACCATATCAAATATGAATAAAATATAAACAACTTTGAAAAACCTAATAAAGATATAGCTACCTCTAATACTTGTTGACATTATTCTTTAATTCAGCCTCTATTTTTTTTTTATATATATAAACTGATTTGAATAAAAAAAATTGATTTTAATGAAATATTTTAGTTTTACCAATATTATCACTTACCGAAAAACATTGGAATGTCAAACATTTCTTCATTGTCTACTTTTCTTCTTAACAGAACAATATATGCAGCATAAAAAAATGCTCCAAGAATAGACCATATTGCTCCTGGTGGAAAGTAATTCTGAACTCCTTTGTCAGCATTTGAAATTATTGTCACACCCACAATGCTAAAATTTATAGAAAAATCAGCACAATGTATAAAAGTTAGATAAATTTGTTTTCTTAACAACAAGAACAAAGGTAAAAGAAAAGAATGAAATGAAAGGGCATAGCTTTTATGTAACAATAACATAACTTATAAGACTAAACATAATGCTTATGAATTATTATACAATCTTGCTTCCTAAGGCAACAAGAAAGAGTAAAAGATACAAATAAAATGGAAAAATAATCAATTTTAGATTTTCTTTGGAAGTGTTTTGTAAATTTGGTTTTTAAGTACTAAATGACCTCAATTAAAAGAGACCCTCTTAAAAGCAGCAAGGTCTTAAAATTAACTTTCCATGAGCAAATTTGTCTGGTAGGGGTTGTTCCAGATCCTTTACCAATGTCACTTCAAAGACAAATTCAATTTGATAACAACACACTTTCTGGAGTTAATCATGATATTGTCATTATTCAAGATTAAAATAATTTTAAAAGTTTTATTTTTTAGAGAGTTTAAGAAATTTTATTCATTTTGACGGAACATTGCAAAACCAGTATCATTGTCATTTTAAAATATCAATTCACAGTAATTAGCTGTGTGTTAGCAAATTAAATTTGGGATAATAACATTTTGAATTAAAGAGAATATCAAGAGATCAATAACTTTTTATACAAAAGTGATTAATTAAGGAAAACCATCTGTGAATAAATTAGATTTCAGTAAAAAGACACCAAATCTTTAAGATACATATTAGATAAATAGAGAGAGAGCACCTGATAATATCGAATTGTCACATCTGTACTACACTCATTATCTTCATTTAAACTTGGCATAACTTGGGTGATTAAGTTTGTAAACTTCTTAGTGCAGACCTTAAACGGTATGAATAATGCTTTTTCTTATCAACTTTTAAACAACCTGAATTAATTTAGTTTCAGACATTGTATTCTCCTTTCTTTAATGAAAGCCAACTTTTATATATGTTATCATTAATATCTGACTAAATTTTAGAATAAAAATATTTTAAAAAATTTAACTTCCAGCTTTGCCCACCATATTCAAGAAGGTTTTTCATGTGGTTAAATTCTAAAACCATAGATGCCACCATGAAATAGCTTAAGATATGTAAAAAATTTGCATCAAGTAATAAAATGCTCAAGATTAATGTTTTGTTAAATTGTTCAACTGCTTTGTAAGCAATCTCAAAACATGCATGGAAATAAAAATTAAGGTAACAAACTTTATTCTATCTATAAATATTTTACACTCAGTAATCTAATATCCTTTTTGTATTATTTCCTATAATTATACCACTGGTTTAGCACATTCCAGCAAAATATGAGAGTACATTTGAGTCTCAATCACCAAGAATCATGAATTAATGTGGAAAAAAAACTCCATTCATTTGCCGTAAAATTTCATAGCTATTTTCTTATAACAAAAATTCTATAAGGAGAAAACTTGATATGATAAAAATATTTCACATAAAACAAGTTTTGATTAATGATTTTTTATTGAGCATTCTTGATTTCAGCTAATTATTATCTTTGATTTTTACCATCATTAGGTATTAACCAAGGATCTACAAAGATGTAAACATTTTTAGAAGCCAGGATAAAGTTTCAGAGTCATCATGTCATGGAATGAAAAATAACGTAACATCTTTTAGCTTTTACATTAAACTTTGGGAAATTTTTGTCGCCAGCAATGAATTTTAAGGTGCCATGGCGACCTGAATTTGTTGACATCAACGTATTACCATTCCCCTATAGAGAATGCCAACCTATCAGGCTGATCAGTTGATTTTCAACAATCCACCATTTAATTGCTTCTTCTGTCTGTTAATAGCAACAATGCAGTTTTCCCAACCACTTTTGTTGCTATAGGCTTCCAATTTATCGACTGACAAATAACTGAAATTCAGGTACACTCAAGTGATGTTAATTTGGGTATTTCTATTTTTTTTTAAAATATATTGATACAAGAAAGAATAGAAAGAAAACTGTTTTTGACAATTGACTTAACTGAAACAGAAAATGTTTGGTATTTTTTTCTTTTTGCAGCATGTGTAATGGTGCTGTTTGTCTTTAATAGAGTTAATTAATTTTACTGTGACTAAGTGAATCGGTGTAAATATCATTCATGAATTTCAAAGAAGATTCTTTTCTCTTCCTAAAGAATATTATGAAATACAGTATATCCCAGTGTATAAATAGACTTTTCAACCCCCTAAAACTTTAAGAAAATTAAACGGTTGATTTATACACCCGTAAGAAAGTCGGATATTTGTTGGTTTTGAAATATCCCATTATAAACAATGAGATGGTAAAGAATTACACTGTATCAATTTATATTTTTCAAAAACTATTTTTAATATATCATCTACAATTCATTAATGTATCATTTCCATTTTCCTTCATCATATTTTCCACGTGTAAAGATTTTAAAAAAAACACTTTAAATTATGTTAAGAGAGAAATTAAAGAAAATTAAGGTAGTTTATTCAAGAACATTTCAAAATATGTAACACAATGAAAACTTAACATATCATAAAGTTATGAATTTAAAGATTTCAGAACATCACCTGTGCTGTATTCAATAACGTTAGCAGTCCTGTAATACGAATCCCAATTTGAAAATTCTACTTCATCCTCCTCTTAAATACTACTTATTTTTTGTTTTTTGAATTTTAGGAATTTTCACCCCTATTTTTTTCTTTCTTTTTCAGTGCAATTACACACTTTACATGTCAGAAACTTGCTATCTCAAAATCAAAAATAGAGGTTCGACTCATACAACGGAATATACAGTAAGTATTATTTACTTAATACTAATGTGGCATGCATAAAATGCTAAATTAATTATTTGTATTTTTAGAATAGCATTTATTATTTACCAAACTTAGATTTTAACACCTCTGTTTTTTTTTTTTTTAACTACCTAGATTACACAGTTCCCCAAAATTGTAGAATAAAAAAAATTTATTGTGTTTTGTTTTAGACTTTAAAAATTTAATATCTAGAATAAAATGAAAATGAAATACTTTATCTAGAAGCAATGACTAAAAATAATTCAATGTCATCAATTCATGAGTAAAATTTTAAGAAATCTAATGTTCACTCTATGAATAAATAATAATGAATATTACTAATAAAACTTAAAACATACCTCATGGTAACAGCAAGAAACTTTGACAAAGTAAAACGGTCACCAGTGTTTGATGGAAACATTGAAGCTAATATTAAAGTGAATAAACCAGATGAGCATGATAATATATTTACAACACCTGCTTCAGTTGTGGAAAGAGCTTCTTGATATGAAAGATTGCCAAGAAACCACTACAAAAAAACCTTTTATTTAATTATACAGTTTATGACATAAAAAACTAGCACAAAAGATAAATCTATTAAAAGACATAAAAAAATAACTTCACAACACACTTTTCAATTGATATAGCAATTACAAACTAGGTTCAATTTTTACTCTTACCATTATACAAAAAAGAAGAGCAATTCTAGCAACTTGTTTCATTGGTAATTTATTAGCTGCTTTCATGGCATTTTCTTGAGCACGGAGTGATGCAGTATAGGATAAACGAGCTAACAGTGCATCATCAGCTTGTGAATCTAAAAGTTAAAAAAAATGAAACATTATTATATAAATTTTTCATGCATATGCATGTTGAAAATCATGATGTTTTGCTATGAAATTATGAAAATAATCTTTTTAAAAAAATAAACTTTCAAAATTATTGAAAAGACAGAAATTCAGGTGTGGTTGGAGTTTGTATAGTGACCAATAGTGAAAATTGTGATGAAAACAAGAAAATGAAAATGACAGTAGAAGATGAAAACTGGATCATAATCAATAATACTTTTATTTAGCAGTATTTGTAGAGCTACAGATATGAATATATTTTATCCATGATGTTAAAGGTTAAATAAATTTTGCATAGTAATATTAATAAGGACAGGCCACAAATCCCCCATGACCTGCTTATACAAAAGCCAAATTAAAAAGTAATCAAATTGTTTCCAACAGACAATAGAATCATGAGAAGAGATCCAAGATTGATGAATTATCAAGTACATAATAATACAATATATACAAATACTTCCTAATTATAGAAACTATTCATTTCATGTACATATTATTCAATGCAGTATATGTGATTTGCCAAATGTAAAAAAAGCTGAAATTTTTGGATTAACCAGAGATATATAGCTGTAATAATGAGTAAGAAGAACATGCATTTCTAAAGTATAACATATTATTAAATTTGATATTAAAATAAAAAGAAATCGAATTATACAAACAGTTTACATTAGTTTTAAATTTTTGAGCACAATGAAACTTAGAGCACTTAGCAGAAAGCATGAAATGTAACTTGACTTGCCATGAATTAAGCACAACATATAACAAATTTTAAAGGAAATTCTTACCAGACAAATGCCGTACTTCAGTAACTTGATTAAAATGAACAGATTTTACACCTATATAAAATAAAGAATTTAGTAAAACATCGTAATAATAAAGAAAAATAAAATGAGAGGTGAAAAAAAATAATTACTTTGTTTAGAAGAAGAATCATCTGATTCATTTCCACTGCTCTTATCCCCGCTACCATCATGATACTTAATTGGTATCCAAACTGACTCACTCTGTTAACATATATACATAAAAGTTTATTATTAAAAACATCCAATCAAAAAAAAAAGTTATTTATTAGTCTGAAATAAATAATAAAAACTATTATTTGCTTAATATTTTTAGAAATTCATTATTTCTAACACCATTACCAAATTTATTAAGAAATGAATTAATTAACTTATAGACTTTTATGAAATGATTGCCTTAACTCAAACACTAAAATATTGTCTTGATTTTTTAATCATTTTAATAATACATTACAATAAAATTTACAAATTTACTTTCTACAACGAATTGCTTTAGTGGTCAACTTATAGAAGGGGGAACTGGAACTGCATTAATTTACAAGGCACCTGCACCAAGAGTGCTTAGCTCCTGTAGAAAAGTTGTTATTGCCCCAAAAAGATAAAATACCTGAAGTAGGAGATTTACATGATTATAGAAGGGGGTTAATCCTGTTATTTTATTTCTCATATCTCACATTATATAATATTATGCATTCTATGATATTTATGCTATTCATTTTATTAATATATCTATCACATTAAAAATAAAGATAAATTTAATAAAGTCTATTTTTAACACAACTTAAAATTTTAATTCAGCAAATACTCCACATATCTTCCTAAATAAGACTATTAACACAGTTAAAATATGTTTTAAAAAATTTATTAGCAAATTTATAACTGATTGTTTTAAAAAATCAAAAATCCGATAACCACTATTCCTGTCTCTGTGAACTGTTTCTACAGAGTGGACAACACATTACTCTTGAAATCCCAAGTTCCCCACAACAGGTAGCATGTGATTGGCCCACCTCGAATCTTCCAACCACCCGAGATCTTGTGCCATTGTCTAGATTATAAAAACTTGTGAAAAGATTCTCAAAACTTAGTTTCATAAAAAATAATAAATAAATAAAATTATTATTTGACTCGGAATCATTTGGAGTATTTGGTGCTTTGCTGCTGAATTACACTTACAGAAATTAGAATTTTACAAAGAATTATGCTGGAAAAAACTTATCCAAGTTTTGCTTTCTATTGAAGTTTAAGAAGAGTTTTAAAAACATAAATTGGGTTGCATAACATAAAAAGTCTCAAGTTTTTAAGTTTATTTAAGATTTTATCTTTTATTAAACATAACCATAGATTTAGCGTGAAAGAAATGTATGGGGAGCACAAAGTTTTTTTTAAGGAGATAGTTTTCTTTTATATATATATATAGCTACAGANCGTCAGGGATTGTTCTATGAGGATTATGGGTCCTAATGTGCCCCATGAAAACATTGTTCCTGGGCGAGAAACCATGAAAACCTGGGAGAACCCATTGTTATAGATGGAGGATGGTCATAATGTAATGGCTCTTCGGTATATATATATATATATATATATTAATATATATATATACATATATATATATTTATACATATATATATATTTATACATATATATATATGTGTGTATAATACTGAACTTAACACAAACTTTTTCGTTTGGAAATAAATAAAAATTTTAATGGTTTTAACATGATTTTTTTTTTTTTTGATTAATGTTAATTACAAAATTGCAAAGCTGTATAAAAAATGTTCAAGGAGTTTAATGTAATAAAAAACTACTTCGGTTTTTAGTTCAATAATTATGAATTGTTAAATTGGAATTTGTAGAATCGGATGCAAGTACAGAATAGAAATTTGATGTGTTAAAAGGTTCCTTTTCATTTATAAAAATAAAAAAAAATTCGAAATTTCAATTTGTTTAAAATGTTATTGCAATTTTAAGTGCATTTTTTACAAATTTTATCATTATTATTACTTGCTTTAAATAATGACTGTTTACACATTGTTGAAGGAAAACTTACTTATCTCTCTCGAGATCTACATTTTATAAACTCAAACTTGATGTCAAAAGCAACAAAAAAAGTTTATAAATAAAATAAAATAAAATGAAAGAAAGAAAGAGAGAGATTAGATACTGTTAAATATCCTAACATTTCTATTGAAATTTTTAAAAATATAAAAGACTTGAGAGAGATAAAAACCTTTTCTAATTAGAACTGTAACATTATATATGTTATCATTATATATATTTAACAATGAAAATTTTTTTACACTCTTTTTCTTCTTGTTGTGTCAAATCTTCAATGAAAATAAGTTAAAGAATTTTTTTTCAAGTACAGTTGAATATTTTTCAAATCCAAGTAATTCTTCCTTTTTTGTGATAAACATATTAACAAAATGCTCATGAACAAATAATCTTTTTTTTTAAAAAAAAAAAAAACGACCTTTAAGAATAATAAAAAACAAAGATGATGGAAAGGCAACAACAGGGGTTGGTGAAAGGAACCTCATTCTTGTAAATTAAAATAGTAAAAAACTATTGTCAGTATTGGAAAGTGCTAGCAAAGAATCATTAAACTAAACTTAATAGCTGCAAGCTACAATCATAATCTAAAAAGAAATACATAAATTTTGTTTATTTGAAGTCATTTTGTATGAATTATTACAAGTTTTTAAAAAAATATTTAACAGGTTTTTAAGATAGCATTTACTTAAAGGTAATGATTATAAAATTGTTTTGCTAATTAAACATAAACTAACAAAAATATTTGATTTTCTTAAGGCTTTTATACTTTTAAATTAAAATAGCTAAGGTTTGAAAAAGTTATAACTTTAAAAAAAATTCTGAAGTTTAGGAAAATTATTGAGAGGAGCAATTCTCTCCCTGTGCACCCTCCCACCGATGTGATGCTTATGAACATAATACATAAATTACATCTAATAAGACAAAGTATATCATTGATCTATTATGCAAAATTTTAAATAGCATGAAAAACCTACTTAAAAACAGTGTCATAATTATTAAAAAAGTTTCTACATTTATTTCTTCATTTGAGCTTGCTTGTATACACTGGAATAAAGAATGCTCAGCATGCCTATGGTAATATACATCCTTTTGGGTTTCTATGATAATAGCTTTAATAATAGCCATGATAATAACTTAATGATTTAGCAATTGTAATTTTTAAATAATAGTAAATGGATACACACTATCTTTTTTGGCTTAGAGCAATTATTGCAATAATGTTCAGAGGAAAAAGTAATATATTCCCATAACTGCCTGTTGTAATCGAGGAGAAGGGTCATGGAAGGCGAGGCTCCTCCATTTGTAAAAATATTAAGAACTAACGAAAATAACATTATTTTAGAAAATTTTTTTAATTAATTCAAAATGCTTACCAACAAGGGCTCAACTTCAACAAATGTGCTATTACACTCATCTTGATCAATATTTGCAGGATCAACAAGCTTTAAAAATTCAAACATCATCAATAATGAAAAGTTCAAAATTAAAATAAAAAAACAACAGAAATTTGACTTACAGTATACATGGGTTTAGAAAAACACTGATCACGCCATGGTTTCCAAAATATAAATCCAAGCAAGTATAATATGAACATGGTAGTTTTCACATAAGTACTAAAAAATGGTTTGCTGAAGTTTTCATCCTTGAATATATACTAAAAGAAATTAAAAAATTGAGAAGTAAATAAGTTAGATTTTCAATAAAACTTAACAAATCTGAGTTATATTTTAAAACTTCAGTTATAAATAATCTTTACATGTTAAATGAAAACTTTTTATTATGGTCTTACAGCTTTTTAGGGGATGAAATTGAAACAAAATTTCTCAGTTAAATAGGAATTTTTTTTTAATGATTTTCATTCTAAGGAAATAATCTTAATTTTGAAAAGATAAAACATTTATTATAAGTACCTTACTATTTAAGTTAATATCATAATAAAACTAACAAAGTTAATAATAAAGTAAACTAATAAAGTTAAAGTAACATTTAACAAAAATATATTTAACTCAAATATTGGGTTTTATGTGAATACAAGATGGATACAAATTAATTGGCAGGCTATATAACTGAATGATTTATGAAATATTAATTGCTAAATACCAGTTCGACAACAGAAAAGTATTATACTTTCACAATTTTATAAGTTCACTATTACTTGCTCCATTGATTTACTGAAACAGAAACAAAACACCTTTACTTATCCTTTTTGTGCTCAAAGAGAGCATAATAATTTTGTGATCTATAAATACTGATAACTTCATTTATTTTTCCACTCAAATTAAAAATTTCCTCATCAATGAAAATAATCTGGAAAAAAGAAATTATCTATTTCCGTGCACAGGAACAATGCAAATGTTTTCTATTTTAGGCAGATTAATAGGCTTTAGCTCAATCAACAATAAAATTGAGTGACAGAGCACATCTTGAAAGATCTGAATATCATGTATTTTTAAACAACCATTTTTCATCAATGTTTAAGCTAAGATAGTCCAGCTTTAAAACAGCTTGTACAGTACATGTTCTTGAACCAATAATAATTCACATTAAAGCAAACCAATTGACTAAACTACAAAAGTATGTTGATACGCTTAAGATTCATTATTATTCTTAATTTGAACTAGCACAAAATTATTTAGTTATAGAAGTAGGCAAATCAATCGAATTAGAGAAATCAAATAACTCGAGTCTGCTAGCGTCAAAAGAAAACAGATTCTTTATTTTGTTATAAGACTTATCTTTTAAAAACAAGAACAATTATTAAAAAAATACTAACCTCAGTCAATTCAGATGAAGCAACCCAAATGATATCTACAACAAGCAACAATAATGTACCACAAACTAATCGATGTGCATTGAGTTTTGCCATTCAATGGTGGGAATTGAACTCTTGATTTATGAAAAAAATAGCATAGGAAGTGAAGTCATAATTCACAGTGAAAGATATCTACACCTACAAGTCAAAACATAATGCCCATATTTAAATCTTTTCATTAAAGACACAAATAAAAGAAAAATAGAAAGTATCACAAGTAGAATATTTATTATTTCATAAACTACCAAACATGAGTAATTATTTTAACATATATATAATTTTTTATTTAAATAAAGTAGAAAAACAATATACAAGAGTATAAATAGTGTAGTTTACTAATACAGTATAGTTTTGATATTGTAGCAAACATCATTATCATTGTCAAGACACAGATGATGGTATTTGCTATTATACAGAACAGATTGTCTATATCAGTTAACTATATTATTTGAGCTCATCAAATACATTGTTGTTCTGCTTAATATATTACTAAATCATAAAGACAATCATTATAAAGTTTTTATTGTGAAAAAAACTATACTCTTTTGAGATATAAGGAAGTTTTTTAATGATTAATTCTTAAAAACCGAATTCATAAAATATTTAAAGTTAATAGTTAAATAATTTATTTATTAATATTGAACCTGAAATTTTAAAATTTTTACAATAACTTTTTTAAACTGAAATAAATAAAATCAGCAACCTCTTTTCAAAAATTAATTAAATGTAATTTTTGTGAAGATTATAACAGAATAAAATTTAACAGATAACTATTTTGTCTAGTATATTTCATAACTTCAATGAACAAAAATAATGATAAAAAGAAATTTTTTAAAAAAATAACTATATTCATCACTAAAAGTTATTCATTAGGTAGGTGAAAAAAAAAAATTAAATTGCACAATAAAAAACCTGCTAATTTCTATCCTTAAATAACTATGACAAATAATGACTACGATAAACAATTACAGTGACATCAAACAATGAAAATTTGACTGAATTATTTATCATAGTCATTATTTATTAAAAAATGTGACTGAAATTAATCTTAACAAACTAATAAATAATACAATTTACAATTCAAATAACAATGCTAATTAGTTAAAACAATTACCTGTTTCCAATTTTGGTAATATAGTTAAGTCTATAAAGCTCTTCTCTTGTGCAAAATAATGCTTTTCAGCAAATTTTGTTAACTATATTGTGATATTCTTATAACTATTTCCTGTTAGTAATAACTGCTAAATTAAGTATTTTTAATCTCTTATACTGATTTTATACTTAATTGAAATCTTTCACTTTAGAAATTTTTCATTCAAAATGTGTGGCTGAAGTTGATAAATTATCAGACTCCTTTCCTTTAGCTATGATATTTCAATCTAAAAAAATTTTAAAATATTTTTTACTCATTCATGAGATATGGTATAAGAAATTTAAAACAAGCTTACTGTAGAATACAAATATTCATGACAAAGATTTTCATGTTGAAGTCAAGAAACCACATGATTCAGATTCCAGTCTGTTTAACCTTAAAAGAATTTAAAAATTAAATAAAGATATTGTTTCCTTTAAAAATAAAAAGAAGAAGCATTACTCATAAAATCTTGATAACGAAAGTTGATTGCTATTGAACAAACAAAACCTTTCTAATTAAACTTAATTTTAATTTAACTATTCCAACATCTGTATACCTTGAAAACTAATAGCAATCATGTTGCTTATAAACTATAACACATCAAAAATCAAAGAGAGTATACAAAAAAAGTTATGAGGAATTTCTTAGGACCTGTAATTTTTCATCACAGAAAAATAAGAGATCAGTTTGACACAGATTATTTTCTTTGTAAAATTTAACCAAACTTAGAAAAAAAAATGTCACTTCTTTATTGGCAAAAGAAATAGAAAATAATTATGTGAATATCAAATAACATTAACACTTTTCCTTGATACAGGTGATATGATAGATTAATTGTAATTAAAAGCTTCAATTCTTCAAATGTAACTCTTTGCTTATTTTAAATGTTTTTATTTTGTCTATCAATAAATGGAACAGTTATAAATGCACATAATCATAGATGGATAAAGGGATAGAGAACTTACCATCTGCTTGATATCACTGATCTTTTTTTTTTTTTTTTTTTTTTTTTTTAATCTGNTTTTTTTTTTTTTTTTTTTTTTTTTTTTTTTTTTTTTTTCTTTTTAATCTGGATGACTTCCTTTTCCTTCTTTTCTTTGTTTAATTACTTTATCTCTCATAAAATTTTTAAAAACTGAGCAAATTTAGAAATTTCAAAATTTTAGTTTACCAAGATTAGCTTATTTCGAAAAAAATTGCATTTAATGTTCATTCATTCGAAAAAGCTAAAACTAATTACAATCAATAACTTTTTTTTAATTTATTCATTTTCTACTATTACAGGATAATCTTTATCTTCAATTTTGTATATTTTTTAATTATTCTACAGCCTACAACGGACCTTAACTAGCAAAATAATGTTGTTCTAAGCAGTGAATGTCCAGTCATTATGGTTAGATTTTTTACATTACCTAATCATCTTTATTTGGATATTCTTCTGAATTTTGAGTTTATTCAATTCCAATTTAAGATTTTTTTAAAAAGCCCTTATTTTAGCTAATTCACCCAGACATGCATCGTAATTTTATGAATTGAATGGTGTCATTCTGTTTTATCAAAGGGACAGGTTTGTTTCTGTTTCTATTCCAACACTATGTATTGTTTATTTTAATTGTTATTGTAACGCGCTTAGTTATTTGAATTGTTCTCAGGGGTCTGTCCAGGCCAAATTTACTACCGTTTAGCAGTACCTTCACATATTCAACTTTAGGAAAAACGGTAGTTTCACACAATACTTTTTCTTAACATTTTATTCTTGTATCCCATAAGAAACGATAAATCCATATTTTTGTGTTGATTTATTAATATAATTCTTAATTTTTCACAAATTATGTCTAAATTTTCACAAAATAGGTACCTCTCAGAAAAACCTAGGCAGACCTCTGGTTCTAATCTATAGTCATGGACACTGAAGCTTGATCACAAATTTAAGAATTGAAAAAAATCAAAATATTGATGGCACTTAATATAATGCTGTACCAGAAATGGAACTGGTGATACTTAATAGAATTTTCCCACCATCATTATATTTGGTGATGTTACTTCAAATTATATTGAATCATAATAAATTTTTCCAACTTCTCTATTAACTTGCTGTTAAATTGTCAGATTGCTAAGAAAGGTACATAAATAATTTTCATGTGGTTGGAAATAAAGTAAAATCCAAAATGAAACACCAAATTGTAATATAATTGCCAAAAGATCCAAAAAGTATAGCTTATATATTTTCGAAGATTAATTAAGATGCATTGAATGTTTTTTTTTTTTTTTTTTTNTTTTTTAATTTTTTTTTTTTTTTTTTTTTTTTTTTTTTTACATGAACAAAAAATTTTACATCAACTTCACTTCAGAAATATTAAATAATATTAAAGGGATATTAATAATATTAAGCCTCAGAATAGCCAGAACTTTCCAGAACTTTAAGCTCAGAAGCCAGAAATATTAATAATATTAAGCCTCATTTATATTTAAGTCTAATTTTTAACATTTTTCTTCACTGAAATGAAAGGATAAGTTATATTTTTCATTTCATAACCTTTCAGTTACATTTTAAATTTTCCATATTTCTTTTAACTCTTTCTCATATTTCTTTTCAATTATAAGGTGTGATGATTGGAAACAATCACGGACTTTCTAAATGTCAATTAGTTCCTTTGCTAAACTGCTTTTCACACTGTCACTAATATGTTTGCTTAAGTTTATCAAAATAAATGCTTAGAATGAAAGCAGAAGTAACTATCAATTTCACTTAATTTTAATCTTTAATTCAAGGTTTTACAATTTAAAGCCTTTCTTACTCGTAAATCTTAATTAAGTATGGGTTAATTAATTGAGATTAAAGAAATCTAAACACAGAGTGGTGTATCTTGGTCCACCTCATGGAGTACATAGAACCACAGAACAAAAATGCATTCAGAAAGAATGTTGAAGGATCAATGCAATTCAATTAAATAATTGCATTATTTTCCTTACAAATGCAGTTTTCATTTAAAATGCTATAGATTAATAGGTAAATCAAATAAGCCTTCAATTATAAATAAATAAATATATATATATATATACAGTGAAACCTGTGTATAACGATACTGTGTATAACGATACTGTCTATAATGATAAACCTGTCTATAGCGATATTTCCTTGAGGTCCCGGTGAAATTCCTATTTACTCAATGTATTTTTAACCTGTTTATAGCGATAACAACTTTTCAGTTAAACATGTCTACAACGATAATTTTTCCTCTTTTGATAGTTGATAGTTCTATTCCGATTTTTCTACCGTTGGAAAACGACTCCCCATCGAGCCTAAATGTGAGATAACAAAATGTCTTTTTTTTTTCTTCTCTTTTGTATGTAATATTCTTTCGTTGTTTCTGACAAAAAAAGCCACTTTTAGGGGAAATTAGAGCAGTAGAAATGGGTGAAGGGGTATTGTAGGAGGGAGAGAGCTTCGTCAGAAAAACGGGTGACACACGACAAGATTTCACCAGAGAATGCCATATTGCTAATTAACGCTTTGCAAGATTTTGTTGCAACATTACCAAATGTAACTGATGTTCATTTGAATTCATTAGATGGACTGAAATCTATGTGCATGGAAATTGCTTCCAAAAATAAGCAAACAAAACTAACCGATTATTTTTCTAAATAATTTCTGTTTTGATTCATAAAATTGTAAGTAAATTTTTCTTGTGTGCTGTTTCATAATTCTAAGTAAAATTTTCATTTGGAGCCTATAAAAGAAGTTTAATTTATCATTAGTTTTAAACGTATACTTTTAAATTTCAAACCTGTCTATAACGATAACCTGCCTATAACAATATTTTATTTAGGTCCCTACAGTATCGTTATAGACAGGTTTTACTGCATATATATATATAATATAATTCTTACCACACACAATTATTTATTGATACATAAATATAAACACAGAGTGGTGTATCTTGGTTCACCTCATGGAGCACATAAAACCACATAACAAAAATGTATTCAGAAAGAATGTTGAAGGATCAATGTAATTCAATTCAGTAATTGCATTATTTTCCTTACAAATGCATTTTTCATTTAAAATGCTATAGATTAATAAATAGGTTTATCAAATAAGCGTTCAATTATAAAAAGAAAATATAATATAATTATTCTTACTGCACACAATTATTTATTGAGTTTTATTTAAAATTAGATTTTAGCACTTATACTAACAGATTCTACATAATGAAATTTAATATAACATTTTAATTCATAGAGAATTGAAGTTATTCAAAGACATATCAAACAATAGCAGGGATGCAAACTGCTCCACTTTCTGCAAAAGTTTTAATAAATTGGTAGCCAATGAAATCATAAAACTTGTAGAATGCCGATAATTACGCCCACTTCTTTAAAGTGTTGCCACTAGATAACGATAATAAAGTTGCATTTCATAAAATATTTTCAACTTTTAATACATAATGGTGGAAAAATTACTTAAAAAGAAAAATACTGAACTAAAAATAACTTAAATTTCTTCACCAATAGAAAATAGTTTACAAAGCGGAGCATGTTGGCTTCGCTGCAACAACTGTGAAATAAAATTCTGATAATTCCAGAACCAGGTTATGGCAATATAAGAATATCTTCATGCACTATTATTTATAAATATATGTTGGATACTCAAAAAATATTTTTATCACCATTGTATCACGCAAATTTAATTCACTATAGTACATTAAGACATTAAAAACATGCAGATACTCTTAAGATCTCATGCCAGTAAAAATTTTGTTCTTAATAATAATTCTTGAAAAAAAACCTAGCTTTGGATGGATATATATATATATACAGTGGAGCATCGTTTATATGACGATCACTTATACGACATTTACATTTATACGACGTTTAGTGTGGTCCCAAATCATTCCTATTCATTTTAATGTAAAAATATATTGTTTATACGACACACAGATTCGGTTATACGTCGGTTTTTAGATTTTGTTCAAGTTTATTAAATTTTTCATTTTTTCTTGTGTATTTTAAAAAAGGGTGGAATTTGCCAACATGAATGATACAGAAAAGGGTGCCAACAAGAATGCTTGGATGACGACCGTAATTTTTTCTAGATGACCCAAAAAAACTAGACAATGTTATGAAGAGGCAAAAACGAAAATTTTTGCTATTATCGATGTCCAGCGCACCCATCGATACTAATTATTTTGGAAAATGTAAAAGCTCTCTTTTTTCCTGCAAATTGCACAAGTGCGCTTCAGCCATTAGATTTGGCCATGATTAGAAATCTAAAATTGCATCATAGAAAGCAGTAAGTTCAACTCGCTATTCAAAGCATTGTAGAGACTAATAGCAAGAAAATATAATTAAAGGTAACATACTTTCAAATTGCTCCCTGCTATTTTTCTTCTTTGGTTATTTGTTTGCTTTGCTTTGTCTAATTTAGAAATTTATGTAAATCAACATGTTAAACATTAAAATTAACTGAAAACAGAGATAATTTCAGCTTTAGAAGTAAAAATCTATTATACGACGTTATCGTTTACACGACGTTTTTCGGTGGTCCTTTCGGTGTCATATAAATGATGCTCCACTGTATATATATATTAATTTAAATGTACAGCAAATTTTTAGAGTCTAAATACAAAATATTCTGTTTAAAATGTGTTATTTTGTCTTGTTATATTTAGAACAATATTCTAAATTCTGTTCCAGTTTAACAAGAAAAGAAAATAACGATATTTCTGACATTTTTTGTTGCTTAATGTGAATAAAACTGGGTTAGTTTCTGTTTTATAAATAAAATTTATATTTGTAAACAAGATGAATTTAAAATAACTTTTTAAGTACATTTCATGAACTATTTACTATTTTTTATCCTGAAATTTAGCTATTCCTCATTTCAGATTTGTATAACTTGAATTTTTAAAAAGGAATATTTGAAATACTTTTTTAATTCAAAAAAATATAAATAAATTTTATTAAGAGTATAAAATTGTTTAACTCAATAAAATAACTAAAACAATGTTTGCATTAAAGTTTCTTAGAATTTTTTTTTATGGTACTACAACTTACTCTATTTTTTAGTGAACTGAGGTACTCCATATTCTGGGTTTTACTAAAGAGCACACTAATTTCTGTCCTTCTAGGATAAACTTAACTAGTCACAAATAGTTATTAAAGATCTAATCTTGAAAAATATGTATTGGTCTATTCTCATAAAAACAAATTTCAGAAGGTAAAGTAGTAGTTCCAAGAATGACTTACCAATGCTAAAATAGAATTTAAAATAAAAATGGCACACTTTAACTGTGCCATATGATTCATTCAAAGGATTTACAGTTACAGTGGCCAAGTATGTTGATGGAAACAAAGAAATAAAAATATTTAACAACATTAAAATAGTTAACCCTGGTTCAACGTTCTCCTTTTCTCTACCCATCCTGTCTCCCTAAACATTTAATTATTATTTATTGGTGGTATATAGCACTTTCGACAAAATATAAACGAATTCTTAAAAGAAAAAGTTTAGGAGTTTTATAAGAAACATATAACAATATGAGGAAAAAAAAAACAGATTATACTTCATTAGATCTTTTATTATCTAAATAAAGATATTAATATCTATATGGATATCAATATCTAGATATTATTATGTGTATATATAGACTGATATTAAAAATAAATATCTGTTCAAAAATTAACGTCAGTTCAGCTACTCAGATAGACATCTTAATAAATATTCATTGCTCATGGTTATATTTCTTTTTAAACTTATTGCAAACTAAACTCAAATTTTCAAACAAGAGAAAATCTATAGATATTATATCCCCCCTTATGACTAATGCAGCGTACTTACCCCACCCGCTTACGATAAATGTAAATAACTTAAATCCAGCATAAAACAATTTATTAATAATACAGGAAAAATATATTTTAGAACACACTCTATTGATTCTCGAGATTGTCCATTTCATCAATCCATAATCACAATTATTTATATAAACATATTTTTACTTTATTCAAGTCTGTATACTGAAAAGAAAAACAAATGTAATTCTGGTTCTGCTTATTTACACAAGCTTGTCTTCGTCAAAATGAGACACTGTCAATTAACAGAAGTTTGTCAGTGGGAAATCTTGGCAGCCGCTGCTCTGCTCTCACATAGTAACCCTGTAAATTCTGACCAAACATCTTCAAAGAGTGAAGGTGTTTTCTACACTTAGCATGCACTGCGAGTCCTTCACTGTCTATACTTCCGGCTTACAGTTTCCGGTGTATTTTGATGCCATTTGGCTCACAACGTGATCATTGTGTTTTGAGACTATCTTGTTTAGTATTTCTTGTATACGTATATTTGTAACCTGATTTATTATTTGCGTTTTAAAAAAGAATTGTTATGAGAATCGTCATTTCAAAACCTGTAGTTGAAAAACGTAAAAATCGTCATTTGAAGAAACGAATCGTTATATACCAATTTCGAAATTTAAACTTAAAATAATAATTTGTAAAATGAACTTAATCTCGCTGCTCGAGCAATATGCTAACATCAACGCATGATGGTTTATGACTAGCAAAAAGAACAAACAGTATTAAACAAATTAATAGAGGCCGAATCGGGACTGCCAAGAAAACGAGTTCTTTCTAAATCTAGCAACCATGTCATCTTTTTTGACAATACTTCCATAAGTGCTGATGACACTTGGCAACCAAGTGGAGGCAACTAAGTTGAGAAACTGGTTTTTGGTTTCTCGTTTGTGATCACACGTTGCAACCTTCGCTTGTTCAACCAACTCAGAATAGTCCAATACCAGAACGGCACGGGTATTGGACTATTATAGTATATAACAGTCCAATACCAGAACTTATATTTTTCAATAAAGTTTATTGCTAAAAGCTCTTTGATAGCTGAGGTTCTGAAAGAAGAACTAGAACAGAAAAAAGGCGACTTAAAGGCAAAATAATTTCTTTCGTTTGCTTTCAAAATTTCATTAGTACTCGGAAATATCTGTCAAAGAAATATCTATCAAAGTCTGTCAAAATGAGTTTAAAAAGCTTAGCGTTCCAGCTATATAATTTTGAATTTTCAAATATTTAAACATTTGTAATTAGTAATATGCTAGTTTTTTTTTTCATTCACTTTTAAAATTCAATAATAATTTGTAACTTTTAATATCTCCACAGAGGAAATTAGTTTATAGGGAATTAGTTTATTCGCATAATCTTTGTTATTTATGTCCCAAAGACAAGGATACGTTTGAAAAATTTCAAAAAAAGAAAAGAAAAATACATATATCGCGATATATGATCGCGCTACTGATCACTAGAATTCCATTTAAAACTAGTCATAGTTAGAAGATTAAACCAAGTTTAAATTTAAAAGATAAAAATGCAGGATGCGTCAGAATCAGCACGTGTATTTTGCTTACTAAATGGTTGCTAGTTAAGGTTGAAAGTATTTGGAAACTACTATATGACACGTTTCAACTAATCTGGTTGCTCCACTAAAGTTGAAAGGTTTCAACTTCAGTTGCTAGTTGAAAGCAGGCTGAAAGTAACCGGGCAACCATTATATGACACGTTTCAACTTCACCGTAACCGCTAGTTGCTTTCAACTAGGTTGCCTCGTGTCATATAGCCTATAAATAAAGAAAACAAATTTTTAATTCAAACTCATCCGAATTACTTAATATCAATAATATCTTATGAAATCAAGCAAATTTGAGCTCAGGTATTGTATAATATATTTATTTTATTAAAAACAAAATTATCTGATTGAAAAAAAATTCCCTTCGCAAAATAAGCTGTAGTAAGCAGCTATATACTTTCCTACAGAAAGTAGATCAGATTAAGAGCTCGAGATTGCTTTTGTTTACAGTTATATTGAAAACACCATCCAGAGGATAGCTCTTAAATTTATTAATTATCCTCTTAAACACTCGATTTCTCTGAGGATAGAAAATTTCTAAAATTTTAATATACATTCTCAAATGATCTCGAATATTTTCAAAATCTTCTTATCTTTTTTATGCAGCGATATTTAGAAAAAAAATCAGATTTCTTCACCTGTGTTGAGGATTAATCTCCTGAATTCCGCACACTCACTTCCGATTACCGCAACGAAAAATGGAGAACCTGATGTATTTTTCACCAATCAGGTTCTCGTTTTCCCACCACAGCGATCGAAAGTACGTAATCCGCAGCGACGTATATACGGTTTCTGGAAAAAAGTACCGTACCGTAACCCCATGAGAAAAAGAAAATTATAAGTGAAACAACCCCATTTTGATTGGAAAAAGTCCCGCAGTGGTTCCCAGCAGACACGGTTCCCGTTAAGACACGGTTCCCAGCAGATTACCAAAGTCAAGCATCACTGGCTGCGGTCAGTGTGCGGGTGGGTGACCACTTGGATCAGTCAGCGTAGGGACTGAGGGTGCGCGGTTTGAGTCCTCGTTAAACTGTTCTACCGTAAAATGCTACTGAAACGAGGGTGCCATCCCCTCTGCAGAGGATCAAAATTGTGATGGCATGTCTTCGGATCATCCTCAGGGATGCTTTCCAGACCGTCGCCAATAGCCCATTGTGCAGCTCTAGTGCGACGCAAATGAACTACAACAACAACTTGATAGGAAAAAAATAATAAATTTCCACTGGAAAATTGAACACGACTGCTATACCTGGGGGTCATGAGCTTGAGCAAAACATAATAAATTTCCCGACATGCTGTTCTTTTTTTAAATTCGTAATCTTTGTTTTGTTTCTTCAGTTATGTTTTTCCCGTTTCATTGAGAAATTTTTTTCATGTCTTCATGTAATGCCGTCCTGCAGTGGACTGATCGTAAAGACGCGGTTCCCAACGGAACACTGAAGTCAAGCGTCACTGGCTGAGGGCAGTAAGCGGTAGGGTGACCACGCTGATCCGCCTGTGTAGGGACCGAGGGAGCACGGTATCGGTCCTCGTTAAATTTTTCAATCGTTAAGTGCTTAACTCCATGTGCAGCTCGTCGGACTACCAAAGCAGAAGAGCCATCCCCTCTGCAGGGGATCAAAATTGTAATGGCATGTCTTAGGATCATCCTCCCAAAACGTCGCCAATTACCAATTCTGCAGCTCTAGCGCGATGTAAATAAAATACCTACCTACCTGATATAATACCAAAAAATTCTAAAGTAAATATGCAATTTTTTCCAATTTTGGTGTTTAGACAATCTTAAAAAAATGCCTATCGATATGGTTATAACTGTAAGTCAAAGGAAAACAAATATTTAGGAGTTAAATGTTTCTTTATGAGGTTAACAAGCGTTGAAATGAAAGATTCTCATGCTTGGCTGCTAGAATGATACAAAAAATGAGACAGACCTCAAATTGGAGGCCTGTCCCACTTCTTTGCAAGTCCAAAATTTAATTCAATCCAAAAATATCCTTAGGCTAACAAATTTCTTCTGCAGATCTGGCAGCATTGATGCTCTGTCAACGATCCAAGCAGCCCATGGCCGTACCTGGTCTTAAAAGGCTTCAACATTTCTATTAAACAAATTGAACAAAACTGTGGCTCTTTAAAAAAAATCCACAATGTCCAGGGGATAGTTGTTGTTGTTGTTGTTATAAACAAGAGAAAATCTATAGAT